TATAATATAAATTTACAATTTCAACAGTTAATTTAAAGCAAAGAGTCCCAAGATGGCAAGAATAAAAGAAGAAAAATAAGAATGACTTAATTGACTGAAGGGAAGGCCTGCTTGAATAGCCAAGTTTTCAGCTGGCTTTTGAAAATGCTGAGAAGACCCATCCTCTGGTTGATGATTCACATTGGCTTGAATCCTGATGAGTTTTGTGTAACTTGACACAAATGTTTCCAGTTAATTGCTAAGGTACCAGGTCACATCTTGGTGATCCAGTTGGCTATATGGCCTGGTACACAATCAGGACATGCCTTAACAGCTGCAATTTGCTGCAGGAAGTTTTACAAAACTTGCAGGGATACTTATAGAATTCTTTGTTGACCTGTGCTATAGATGAGGCTTAGGATATGTCCCACAGAACTCTTTCTGAGAAGAGAAGGGCATCTTTGTAAACTACAAATGAGAACAGTTACTTGAACAGTAATGAAGATAACTGAGCATAATATCCTTTTTTCTCCTCTCTTCAGCGGTACCCCTGGATGAATGCCCCTCTGCAGGTTGGACTGGTAGGCCTGTGGTAAGTGAGCTTTGTGTAGATAGAACTGTTGGCTCTTTGTCACACAGGAAGAAGAGGCTGTTAGTGTTTCTCTCCGTAGCCCCTACAGTTGACTGAGAAGACTACCAATATCAGAGGTTACTGGGGGTGGGGGGCACGCGGTATAGTTCTCAGAATCACCCAGCCAACCATTGGCCTGCTCTGTGGAGATTTCAGGAAGTTTGTGTCCAAAAAAGACACGTTTCAAAGCCCTGGCCACTACAGAGCAGTGTGGTACAGTTAGCGGTAGACCAGCGCTGGCAAAATGCAGGTACAGTTCCACCTCAGCCATGAAAATTTTAATAAGTAACTGAGGGCCAGTTCCTCTCTCTCTCTTTCTCTTGCAGGGTTGTTAGGAGGGTGAAATGCAAAAAAGGAAAGAGCCATGAACATGTACGCTATTTTGAACATGTTGGAGAAAAGGCAGGATATGAGTAATAATTCAGCATGGATTGAGGTTTTTTTGAGTAGCACCAAATAATACTCAGCTTGCGGAAGCTGACAAAATGATATTCTGTGGTGGTGGAAAGAATGTGGGAATCATCCTACATGCCAGGATGCATACACGCATGAACACGCACATATTCTGCAGAGATTCTGGAATTTCTGTACTGAGACTGCAGTACTTTGAGTTGACCTTCAAAACTGGCACCGATTTTTAACAAAAGAGGCTGCATCTGTCTGTGTCGTTTGGAGACACTGGATTTGTCGTGTTGCATTCTGATCTTGCCTGTTCCTTTTTTATATCTTGGCATACAACTCTTCTGTATGATCAGCCAAATGCATTTTATGTGATGATCCCAAATGACTTATTGTAATTAAAATGACACACTGTTTCTATACCCTTCCATTTCTGGGCCCTTTTTCTTTCTTTCTTTGATTGGAGGAATGGGGCCTTGGCAGGTCATGGAATTCCCACCCCAGCCTTTTTTTAATGGGAGAGACAGAATAGCATTATGTCAGCTAGGGCAGTGGTCCCCAACCTTGGTCCTCCAGATGTTCTTGGACTACAACTCCCAGAAGCCTTCACGACCACCTCTGCTGGCCAGGATTTCTGGGAGTTGAAGTCCAAGAACATCTGGAGGCCCAAGGTTGGGGATCACTAAGCTAGGGTAACTGCACCAGTTCTTCTCCAGTCTGAAGCCCTCCAGATGTTTTGAACTATAACCTTTGGTAATACCAGTGATGCTGCTGGGGCTTAGTCAGAAACATCTAGAGAGCACCAGTTTGGAGAAGGATGGGTGCGGTTTTCCATGTTATATGAATTTTAACCGTTCCCTTTTAAAGAAATTGGAGTGATGGGAATTCTGCAGCCATTTAATTGCTCCAACCCCTCTCCATCATTAATAAAAAGAATTAGGCCTTAAAACAGGGTGTTAGGCACCCCGAAACCTCTTGGGGTACAACACTCCATTTTAATGTTCTTTCCCTGCTGCAACTTTTTGGGCCCTAAATAACCTCCTCCCCCTGCATCCTGCCACCCAGAGGTTGCCTTCTGGCCACTTGGTTTTGAAAAAAAAAAGGATGGGTGCCACCCTTCTTGGTCTGGAGTGGAGATGGGCATGAACCTCAGTTTGGAGGTTTGTGAAGGTTTGTACACGTAGCACGACAGGTCCCACATATTCTGTTCCCCCGTTTTCCCAGCTAATGCCCCACTCACCAGTTGGGAGTGCTTTCCTCTCCTCCTCCTCCTCTTTGGCTGTTCGACCAGACCCTGGCAGGAGCACAGGCTTGCCTGTTCTGCCTCCTTAGCTGAATATGCAATCAGCCAAGGAGGAGGAGCAGGGAAGCCTGTGCTCCTGCCAGGGTCTGGTCCACTAGCCAAAGAGGAGAAGGAGAGTAGTGTGTGTTGGCTGTTGAGTGGGGGAATCTAGCCAGGGAGGTGGGAGAAAGGAACTTGCTGCACTTATGAACTGGCACAAACTTCCAAACTGAGGTTCACGCCTATCCGTAGCCTTGAGTTCGGTGGGAAATGGGACAGGGCAGGGCAGCCCCTGGCCCCTCCACAGTTGTATACTTGTGAATGAGATATGTATCCAGGATGTGTTATTATAGAATCATAGAATAATTTTGTTGGAAGGGGCCTATAAAGCCATTGAACCCAACTCCTTGCTTAGTGCAGGAATCCAAATCAAAGCAAATCTGACAGATGGTTGTCCAAATTTCTCTTGAATGCTTCCAGTGCTGGCATGCTCACCACCTCCTGAGGTAATTGGTTCCATTGTTGCTCACTCAGCATTCTGAGTGAATACAAGAAAGCAGCCCTATATTCAGAAAAGCACAGATATATATGGTGTATACCTTGGATTTGTTTCTCTCTTGATTTGTGGGAAGGCTTGTCACTTTCCTTGAGAGAATCATGAGCCACTGAAGATAGACATAATAACTGGAATCACCTCTGTTGTCTCTGTCTTTCCTCCTGCAGCTTGGTGTTTGCTACACCCTTGTGCTGTGCATTGTTCCCACAGAAAAGGTAAGTGCTACTGTGTCATTCAGTTGTGTTCTTATGTCATGTGAGGGTTTCAAGTAAATTTTGATCTACTGTGAGGATGGGCAGTAGGTGTGTGTATTTTTATTAGATCTATTCAGGGCTGTAAATATGCTTAGAAGGTGAAGCCCAAATCTGGGCTGTATGAATTCTGTAAAAAGTGGTATCAATGGGATCCAAATCATTTCTCTTGATTTTGACTTGATTATATATAATGGTATTTATTCACCTGTGCTTTGTTAGCCTTTAGTCTTCTATCTTTTTCTTCGGTCTGTTCTCTTTTGACCTCACATTTTAGACTGTAAGCACCTGGGGGGGTTTGGAAATCTGTAAAACAGAACACGTGAGGGGAAAATGATAATGGTGGTGCTGGTGGGGTGTGCTTAGAATCAGACTGCTACTGATGCAGATGTTTGGTAGAAAACTTTAAACCAGCCTCCTGTCACCATCCCCAGCAAGCATACCCAATGGCGGAAGTGCTATCCCAGAACATTTAGTGGGCATTGGGTTGGGGGAAGCTACTCTAAACAATCCCGGTCCTATAAGGTCATTATCCAGTAAGCCTTCACATCACACACTATGACTGACAATCCTTCCCTTCCTCTTCCTCCTGGCAATCTGAACCCAAATTTTCTACCGTCCCCTCAATGCTGCTTCTGCAAAAATTGTGCTGCTGACGAGCCTTAGAGTTTTGCTTTGTTTTTTAAACATGTTATCTACCTCTACAGCTCAATGCGAGTGAGTCGCCTGGAATCTGAGGTCCAAGCTGCGATCAGAGAGAAGAACCCCAACGTTGAGGTTGTCTATTTTAATAAGGGGCTTTGAGAGAGAGCGAGAAAGAAAGAGAGATTTCCTCGTGCTGACCCTGGTGTGTGGTGGAATGGACAGAAGAGGAACCAGGGATCTGGTGCTCACAAGGAGGAAGTTACATTTTGTAATAGTATAAATCCCTTTTAAATGCTGCTTTCTTATTGGCTGCCAAGTTTTGGCAGTTTTACGTTTATTAAAAAAAACCTTCCTGAATCAGGTGAACCCTCGGGTTAGATTGTAATGTGTGAACAAAGTAGAAACATTCCATTCTGGGCGCAGTTATATGTTGGAACCAAAGGATTCAAGCTTCCTTAAGCGAGCCTGACTCCATGTATTAGGCATAATTCCACAGTGGTATGTGTGTGTGTGTGTGTGTGATGTGTTGATGTATGTGTATAATCCCTGTGAAATGTTGTTAAAAAATGATAGTAATCTTGGGATCATTTGGAGAACAGGAGAAACAAACACCTTGAATCCTTTCAATTCCATTGAGGAAGGCCTCTTGCTTTGCATTTCAGTTTACGTTTCATGAATTTAGTGCTAAGGAGAAATACTATGCTTTCGTGAGTGAACTATGTGTAATTCTTTTGCAGTATCTATGTTATTGAGATAGTAAAATGTCTATTTTTGCAAGCAAAACATATTTGCATAAGAATGTATTCTCTTGCTGTGTTTGTTATTTTGGAAGAAAAGTGAGAAAGAAAAAACAGTGACAGTTTATGCAGCCTTAAAACTACAAAATCAATCATCATCAGCCTGATATGCAGAGAAGAGAATATCCAAAGCCTTTAATGGAAGCAAGTGATTGACCGTATTGTGAGAATGTCTGTGCAAATAGAAAAGCAGTTAAAAGTAAACAGTTGAAGAAGTCTGGGTTTTCCACCAGATCTGCTCTTTAAGGTTGCTTAGAAGAGGAAGAAAGGTTTGAAATTTGCATAATTCTGTTCTGTATGCAGAACCAAACCAAATCATGTCGTTAGTCAAGGCAGAGTATTCAAAGCCAGCTAAGCAGTCTTCCTATCCTTGGTGATGAAAAACAATGCTCTTAAATTAAATAATGATCAATTTGCTGCCCTTTCATGACACCTGAAAACCTGCTGTCTGAGGTGGCTGCCTTGCTTTGCCTCTCCCCTACATGTGGGCATCACAAAAGCACATGGATATCAGTAGTTGTAAATATACACTGAATCTGCCTCTTGGAGACTGTAACATTTCAAGATGTCAAGCAGGAAAGGATCTAGTCTAGCTTTGTAACAGCCTCATAAGAACACATGAAGCTACTTTGTACTCAGACAGACTACTGGTCCATCTAGTTCAATGTTGTCAATTCTGGCTGGCAGCAGTTTTGAGGCATGAGATCTTTCAGCCCTGATTGAATTTCGGACCTTCTCTATGCACAGCATGTTGTCCTAGCACTATATTATGGTCTCATTCCCACCTCTTCTGCTTAGCTATATTTGCATAATTGTGGCATCATTTGTATACTAGGTTAGTGATGCTTTTTTTAAAAGGGGGGGAAGGTCAAGGGACAGGCAGCAGGGGTGGCAGGATCTCTGCTGTTGGCTTACCATGTTCCTTTGCCTTTTCATTTGATGAGGCAAGTCTTATGATGGCAGCCCCCAAAAGGCCAGACTGCACAGTGCCCTCCTCTCAAAATGATAACAAAAAAACCCGTGTTCTACATGTTTCCTTCCCCCTCCATTGCCCCTAATCTTTCTGATCATAGATCCTTTTCTAGTCCAAGGTCAAAATTTCCTGGGGCAAACCTGATCCCAGATATCTGTATGTCATGTGCAACAAAAAACCCTGTGTTCTACATCATGTTTCCTTCCCCCTTCATTGCCCCTAATCTTTCTGATCATAGATCCTTTTCTAGTCCAAAGTCAAAATTTCCTGGGGCAAACCTGATCCCAGATATCTGTATATCATGTGCAATGTGTTTCACTTCTAGCTTAGAGTGTACTGTAAAGGACAAGCTTTGATACATGTAGTTGCAGTCAACTTGTGGTGTCTGCACTGCTGAGACATCTCTGCTAGGAAGGGAATAGCGTATCTGATTTGGAACTGGTTTGAAGCCTTACTGCAAAACCAGCAGTAAGTACTTACTAAAGGAGATAATATGCACACAAAAAGGTTTTTTGTTTGGTTTTGGTGGGAAAAAAATCTCTGCATTGATTAAACAACTGCATTATAACCCCCAGTTCTTTCTGTCTGCTGTGTAGACTTTAATGAGTGAATGGAAGGGTCAGGAGATCTGCATGTGGTGATCGGATGCGCTGAATCAGTGCATCTTTACCCTGTTAGAATCTTTGGGTGGATGTGTCTCACAGCATGTACTTTAGGGGTTTTGAAAAATCAAAAGAGGGTAGACAAAGAATCCCCTCTGCTGATGGCTCAGTGGGATAAATCTCTTAAGCTAAAGCCATACCTATTTCTTTGATTCATTCAGTTCTGTGTTCTGTACAGACTAGCATCAAATGACTTAATTGTTGCTAAAGACCAGAACCTTTCATTGAAGGCCATGTTTGCCATTGACTTCATCATCATCAGAGTCTAAAGGAATTAGTTAGTTTTAGCATCACACAGAAAAGATGAAATTGGAAGTGATGTGTGTAGTGACACATTTTTTGCTTGCAGAGTGGGATAAAGAACGTAAATGGCTGGAATTGCCACAGACCTTCAGCCAAAGTGGTAGAAGGTCAGTGGCATAATCCAGTTTTCTGCTCTTTTCATTCGTGGAGCAAATCACTTATTTTAATCTGAACAGAATAGCCAGGGGTTGTTTATTTGGCTCTTTATAAATGTCATTGCTGCTGGAGGTTCTTGAGTTCTGTCTGAGGTTGCTTTGTGCTTTTTATTGTGTGTACTCCTAATGAGACCTCATATAATCATGCAATGAATTGTTGGATCATGCTTTTTCTTTTATTATTCTGGTTCATGTTTGAAGCTTGTTTTACCAAACCTGAAACAATTATTTTGTGCAACGATCCATATGGATTTGTGTCTTGCCTCCTGTATAGCTTTAAATAAGACAACTGTTTCGAAATAAAGAATATACTCTCTGTCTCTTGCTGCTTTCTTGGGGTGATAGAACTGGATAGAGCCAATGAATTTATTTCCATGTTGCTTCTTCAAATACAGCAGACTTACCGTATTTTTCGCTCCATAAGACGCACCTTTCCATAAGACACACCAATTTTTTAGGAGAAGAAAACAGGAAAATATAATCCGTTTTCTTCGCTCCATAAGACACACAAATTTCCCACCCACCCCTGTTTTGTGGGGAAAAAGTGCGTCTTATGGTGCGAAAAATACGGTAAATCTTCCTTTAGGTGGCAAGCCTTAAGGGAAGGAGCCATAATACTGGAGCAGTCTGATAGCAGTGCCTCCAACCTATTCACAGGCTCATGCTTTTGGTAGCAAGGTGGAAGTAATGATGAAATTGTTTCTTGGTCTTTTCTGCTTCTCAAATAATGGAAGAGAATTCATTTAGATTGTGCTAGGTGACTGGCCCTGCTGAGATTCTTGGCCTGCAACACCCAACAATCCTGCCCAGCATCTGTGATTTGAGATTATGAGGGCTGCAGTTCAGAAAAATCTGAAGAGCCACAATTTCATGGTTGGCCTAAATTGGGGATATAAAACTGGTCTAAATCTCTTGTCTTCCCCTACCCCAATGTTTGTGTGGGGAAACTGGAAGAGGGCTCAGGACTGAGCACCTCTCCTTTCCCACTCACTGCCACACACCCCAAGACACCTGTCCCTCCTTTTATGAGTTAAGTTCTGGTTTTGTAGAGGTGACCATGGTGGAATCTCCATGGTAGCTAAGAAGGTGGCTGGATGGGGTGGCTGGGTCAGCCTCTGAGATTAGAGCTTTGTCTAGCACTTTGGATGGTGATTTCTGCACATTCCTCTGGTAAAACTGACAGGCTCTCCTGGTGTCTTGAACAAATGTGCCTTGTGGCAGATCACTTCCTTGCAGGTGGTAATGGCATTATATCCTGTTGGGTGTCCCATATATCCCACAGGTATTTTTCAGAGGCTCATTTCTTTTAAATGCTTTTGTTTTTTGTTTGTTTGAGAATGCAGTTTAACCTGTTGTATGAAGATTCTCTTCTTTTATGCATATATTTTCAACCCAACCCATGATATAAGGAACCATCTCTGAGAAGAGGCTACACAAAGATGTGTACAACCAAACCATCATGGTCTTTAAAAAGTAGCTCATAGGTGTGTGTGTTGGGGAGGAATGGGAGCAGCCATAGGAAGGTAAGTATTTTCAAGGAAGGATTAGGAAAGGGTTCACCTTTTCTGGCCTACCTAGATATTGGGTATATTTGGGTTTGGACTACAACTCTAAGAAGGCATAACTAACATTGCCATTGGCTATGCTGTTTGTGGCATTCTGGGAACCCAAGTATTTTCTGTGCCTGGGTCTGTTTTACCGCTACTCCCCACCCCCACCCCAGTCTGGTATTTGTTAAGTGGAACAAAGACACTTGTAGCACCTTAAGCTTTTATGAATTGTAGCCCATTATGTCCTACTTCTGATGAAGCGAGCTGTGGTCCTGAAAGCTTATGGCAGAACCGAGTCTGTTACTTTGGCTGCATGGCTGTGCCTCTGGTAATCTTCACAAATGGAGTTGTTAACAGGTTTTTGCTAAAGAAATGGGCGATATTCCACACTATCCCACTGAAGCTATTGAGGTGCTCATTCACATTTACACTCACAAATACTGTATACAGTATCTGAATAGAAACATTTGTAGTGTGTTTTATTTTCTTGGCTTACAGAGTAATAAGTCAGGAATAAGAGGAAGCTGTCCCCCTTGATAGTTCTTTTGCCAAAAATTGCAAAATGCATGGGCAAAACTGGTTAACACCCTTCCTTGTCTAATAGGTTATTCAGTGTAACCTTCTGTTATTTCTGCTTTTGCATTGAAGTTCTCTTCTGATAAGATGCATTATTGTGAGACATGTTGTACAGCAACTGGTGCTGTAGAAATGTTAAACTAAATATAAAGGATTGAGGTTCCATAATATTTACTGACCTGTTGAGGTCAATGTAGCCTTGGTGACTCATGACTAGTCAGTAACACTGCTTCCAGTGGGCTTCCTCTTGGCATCGGTACAGTGTGGCTCATGCATGGCATGGAGCTCCAAGCCCCTTTGTGGCACTCAGTGTCTCCCAGGGTCCACCATGGTCACCTCTACAGAAAATAATAATAAAATGTTGCCATTTCCTTTTGAAATGTGGAAACCTCCATTACACTTTTTCTTGGAGTTTCCCAAAAAGTTTCTCTTCCATAAGTTTCTGTTGTTAATCAACGAAACTGAAGCTTTAATTGTTAAAGTAGCTTAATAGTTTATCTGGCGAATAAAACTTTAATTCATAGGCAATGTACTGTGGCTTGGGTGGAAAAAGAACCAAGCCCACAACTAAGGGCAGAGAGAGAAGCTGGTGCCCGAGTGTGCTTGTTGTCCCCATCTGCTTGCCATGCGAGCATCCTTTCCCAGCGTCTCCAGCTTAGCATATTTCATGGAGGGATCCGGGATTCACCATCAATCAATGGCTGATAAATAATGTAGGAGTCCACGGTGCAATAAGACTTGTCACTTGCAATTCTGCCTTCATACATTAAAGATGAAAAAGAACAAGACTCTTGCCAGAAAAACAAAGACAAGTTTTTAATAGCTTGCCAAGATGTTGCAAGATGGAATATACAGGAAAAATGAATTACTTTTTTATTATATGTTTTATTATGCTGTAATGAACAGGATTAGTGGAGAGTGCAATGCATTTCTAATGCAGCTGAGCAGAGGGAGAAATACACACATGGATTTTCTTCTGCGCATTAACTATCAGAGTGTATGGGGTGGAAGGTTCAGAAATAGGGAAACCTGCTCTGGGAGGCGAGAGCAAACCCATGGTTGCAGCGAGTTGCAAAACCCATTGCAACTTAGATTATTCAGATTTTAAAAAATCTGAAGATGCATTGCACATTATGAATAAAAGTTTTTGTAATAACTGATAATTAACACTGAAGGTGCCTTGCACCCAGTGAGCAATTGTAATGCCCAATGCATTTTGTTCTACTAAAATATGCCTGCTTACTCCCTCGCCTTAGTAATTTCTTCCCAATGCTAAAGGAAGCCTTTTCTTCTTTGTTGTTGCACATCTCTTCCTCCATCCTTTATGAACAGGATGGTTGCATGCATTGAAAGAAGGAAAGGTTTCAATATGTCCCTTTTGGACACAAAGATCCATCTCCGGTGTTCTGCTATGCAGCATCAAATGGTCTATTTGCTAGAGTAAGATGGTCACTTTGAGCACTTTAATGTTACTGTCATCCTGTCACCATGGCCTGGTCCCCTGCTGCTAAAGCCCCCCTCCCTGTGATTCAGGAACAGTTATTGGGGAGACAGGGTGAAGAAGAACAAGAGGTCAGTGCCAGGAGTGGCAGGTTTTTTTGAATGGTCACATTGAGAGCATGGCCACTGCATGGCCAGT